TTTTTGACTCAGCGAGAATAATCAATCACTGGAGCAGTGGCAGAGTCCCCAGCCCTGGAGGTTTACAGGATTTACCTGGGCAGGGCTCTGGGTAATCTCATCTGGGCTCCCTTTCCCACGAGAGGTTGGCTCACGTGATCTTTTGAGGTCCCTTCCAACCTGGGCTGTTCTGTGATTCCACGAAAAATGTTTTGTGGAGAGAAACTGGCTTAAAGGATGTGTTGGATCAGGTCTTGGAGACCAACTCCAGCACCAGTTAGAGTTGATTTTCCCAGTTTCCCTGTTGATTTGGGTCTTTCAAAATGACACAGTCTGTTCTAAACTGTCAGTTCCGTGGCATTTTCCTCTGCATCTCTGCTTGATGTGTGATTATATTGCAGTTCATCAGTCAGGTTTATTAGTGGACTTAATTGGATTGCATTAGCTGGCATTTAAGCCATCCAAACCAGTTGAGAATGCAATCAATTAAAACATCCAAACACATTAATGGTGCAGACACAGGGCAATTTATGTAGATGGCTAATTACCTGTTTACTTCAGTAAGCAGGTTTTATTGCCCAAGAATGGACAAATGATGCATGAGAAGAAAAGAAACAACATTGCAAGAATACTGTTGGCAAGGCTGCAAAAAATAAGAAAATGGCAGAGTATAATTGTCTCTATTGTTAAACTCTGCAGTGAAAGAACAAACCCTACACCGTGACAGGCACTCAGAGGTGTTCCTAATCATTTCAGATTTTCATGGGAGTTCTAGAGAACACAGTGAGTGTATTACCAGGGTTGGAATGTCTCATAATGGGACATCTGAGCTTTCTAAGCAATCAAGATGCTCGGTGAGATGGTCATTTTAAAGTGGGAAAATACTAATCCCTGTCAGTTTTTCATTTCATCCACTACTGATCTGGATCCAAACCCGGGGCTCCCTCGTGGCTGGAGGTCCCTGTCCCTCACACTGGGTGAGGTGTGGTTGGTGGCTGGTCCTGGGCATCTGCAGCACTGACCTGGAGAGGGAAGCACAACTGAGGGGCACAACAAAATGGAAACCAAGGACTGGAATGGGATCATTAACATCCTCCTGTGCTTCCTGCTCCCTCCTACAGCCCCCCTCTGGCTTTGCAGCTACATTTTCTCACTGACTGTGACACAGCTCAGAACGAGCCCCACAAACTGATTATCAGACACTGCTCCTAATTTCCTTTACAGTCCCTGGGGAAATTCCTGTGCTCGTTTATTCTCTGCAGCTCCTGGCTTTTTGGGATTGTGCAGGGAACATACAGACACAAAAATGATTGGGTTGGGTGGTGAGCCAGTCCCAAAGCCACAGCTGATGTGGCAGGGTTTGCTCTGCACACAGGACAGGTCCTCAGGGGCTGTTGGGAACACAGGGTGGGCTTGCCAGAGCCTCAGGGAGGTTTAGGCCACGCATCACGTGCCCAAGATAAACTCTGGAAGGGAAGAGAACTGAAAATGAAATGGTTACAAGTGTCTCAGGTGTGTAGGTTCCACACTTGACCCGAGGTGTGGCACCCATGGGGTCGGTGGCACCAGGCTGTGACATCAGGGAGGGCCAGGACTGGCCTTTGTCCCTCTCTCGGTGAGAAACCAAAAATAACATCACTAATCACGGCTGGTTTCCACTCTCTGCTGCCATACTTTGGGACTGGCTCATGTTCTCTAACCTCACCATTTGGGTGACAATTCCTTCCTCCCCTGCCCTCATAGGTCCCCACCTTCTGAGTGCCACAGACACCAATATCAGCTGTCTGCCTTCCACCCTCCAGGCACTTTTGGGAGCAAATAAACCAATGCCCCTGTGCTTGGGGTGTCGGAGTTGCACACAGGTGAGCTCTGCAGCATTCCTTGGCATCCTGCAGAAAAAGTCACTCCTGGAACACAGAGCAGGAGCAGGAGGAGAAAGAGTCTTCTGAATCCCACAGCTTTGGGATGCTGTGCCTGCTAAATAATGAGTCATTTTTCTTCAGGTGCCACTGAGAAATGGCCAACTGAACCAGCAGATTCCAGCACAGACCAGTTTATCTGAAACACAGCTGAAATAGCCGAGGCTGCAAAGGCAGAGCACCCTGGCAGTGATAATTCCATGTCACACATCAAATTGATGGTGGCAGCGGCTCCTCGGAGCTCTGGCAAATTGGAAATGGCTCAGTGCAGCAGCAGGGCCATGATAACACAGTTCATCTTCTGCAGGGAAATGATAGTAAAAGAAATGGCTTTTGGATTAGCTGTCATTAAAGTGAAACATCTGCCTCTGCAAGTGGAGTGCAGTGTCCTCAGCCGGGCACAGGGAAGCTCATTAACGTGCCTGGGTTTGCATGGCCCCGAGCCAGGGCCACACTTCCACAGGCTCCAGGGCTGGGGAGCACAAGGGCTGAAAGTCAGGAAGACGAATTCCCAGGAGATGTGTCAGCTTCTGAAGCAGTTGCAGAAGTTGGCTGATTGTTCAGACTCTCTCGGTACCCGGGAGCACATAACCAAGTGAAATGGGAAAAATAAACGGGAGCGACAGGATTTTAGAGGAAATGAAACCTTTTGAGGTCACAAAAGCTCAAAGTTTAGCTCTGTCTGAACTCGAGGAACAGCTTCTAGTCGAACAGTTGATTCCAAACACTTTGCCATAATTTCTGAGCTGTTCTTTGCCTGCTGGACTGCAGAGCATGAGGTCAGGAAACTTTACTTGTCTGACCGTGTGATGCAAATATTCTCACACCTGATTTTCCTTTTCTGTGCTTAGAAGGAATGTTGGATACTTCAGAGAGGCAAAACTGGCAGGTAGCTGTTTGTGTAGGAGCATTCTGAGCCGTGACTTCAGGTTTCTTTCGTTATTCATTGCCTGGTGATGATGCACAACAAAATCCTCTGTGTTTTAAGGTTGCAGGATACTTGAAAGGAACAAAATTCGTGGAGAGCAAAGAATTATTTGTTAGTGTCTGTATAGAGCTCTGAGTTGAATAAACTACAGGTATTTAACCTTTCCTTGGGATGGCTGTAGCTTCAAGCTGGATTACAAACAGGTATCCAGTTTCAGTATTTGTAAGGCTGCAGTCTCTTCCTGATTACATTAGTCTTGATTCACATAAATATATTTGAATTCTTCACAGTTTCGTAGCATTTACAGCACCAAGCCATAAGGGTATGTCCTAAACCACTAAAGACTCTCTATATAGAGTCCCTTTTTTTAGTATTCAAACATGCACAAAGTGAGGGACGGGTCTCAAAGCAGTTGGAGCAGCTCCACAATCACCACGAATTGCAGCTTAACATTAAAGAAACCTACAGAAATGATCACTGCAGGTTTTTTTAGCCAGATTCTTCAACCTGACAGAAGTGGAAACAATAGCATCTTGATGTCAAACAGGGGGGAAAGTACTCATCAGTGTCACTGGGATTAAAATCAAAGTAACTCTTCTTGAATTTGAAGGGAAAGAAGCCCAGTCTCAGCTGTGCTCTTAGGGCAGAAAAGGAACATGCAGAGAGGGAAAATGAGATGGGAGATGGAAGGTTACAGATGATGTCAGTGCTCTGGGGTTGATTGCATGGCTGCTGAATGAAGTTTCACTCTGGATTGTTGCCTTTGAGACAACAATATAACAAAAAAGAAAAGGCTCCCTCTCCCTTTCATCCCAATCAAAGCAGGAGAGCAGTTCTCAGCAGTGCTTTGATCTTTGTTTTCAATAGTAGTTTCTGTTTTTCTCCGTGGTTGTATTATCACACTCCAAAAACATCAGGGGAAGTCACTTGGAGAAGCCAAAACAAACAGAGGAGGTGGTTGTTTTGGGTCCCACCTTGTTTCCTCTGTGAGAACCCTCCTGAGCTGAGGGTCCCCCTTGCACAGGTGAACCCCCTGGATGCACCAGCACTAAATTTGGGGTGTCCCAAGTCCACCTGTGACAAAACCAGACACATGACAACAGGCAAACCCCTTCTGAGCATTCCAGAGGCTGATTCCTGTGCTGTTCCCCGTGGATGGGGAGGGATGAGGGAGTGCTGAGCACTGAGAGCAGTCCCAGCAGCAGCACCTTGGCTGCTGCCTCCAACTCCAGCTCCTGCTGCAATGGGCCAGTCTTGGTGAGTTCATGCTCCAGCTTTGGTGCTTGAACATCCAGGAGTGTGAAGGGTGGTGTTTAGCACCTCTGGCAAACACCCTTACAGAGATTATTCCCTTTATCTGCTCTGGCAAACAGAGACACAGGATCTGGCAGCCCCAGGTGAAGTCTGGAGTCCGGCTGCCTGTGTGTCCCAGATAACAGGGCAGGACTCCCAGGACTGGGTATCTCATCTCTGTTGAGTCTCATCCTTCATATTATCTATTGTTTTACTGTTCCCTGGGCCAGTAAAACAGTTTACTTGGCATCTGTGCTGCTCCACTACGCAGTATTGGTGCTGATCAGTGCAAATCCACTGCACTTTGACAAGGGCAGAGCCTTCCATCCAGGAAGGAGGAGGTCAGGAGAGGGGTGTTACACACATGGTGTTACATCAGTAACAAAAGTTATTTTTGACTGATCTTATTGACTGGCCCATAAAAGTAAGGCCACTTAATCGAATAGTATGTGTTAAAGCTAATCAAATGTCATGGAAATACATGATTATTATTCATAAACTGCAAGCCATTTGAATGATTTCCTTCACTAGGACTGGAACACCTGTGTTAGAGTTAGTTCAGTTTAGCCAGAAGAAAGCTTTCTTCCCAAGGGGGAGTTTACATAACCCACAATAATTTTTAAATAATTTTAAAGAACTGTGAAGACTGCAACTCCCTTGGTCAGTTTTGCTTCACCACCTGAAACTTTCTGCTTCTCTAATCCTGCTCGGCGTCACATCTGTTGCATATTTATCACCTTCCCCTCGCTCCTGCGGCCTCACAAACAAACCACGCAGCAGCCAGAGAGCGGAAAATCCCCGGGCAGGGAGATCAGTGGATGCTGCAGCCCAACGCCTCCCTCTTCAGCCTCATCCTCAGCCTCTGCAGCTCGGGGTTTTTGTCAATCTGCAGCCCGCAGTCCGTGAGCTCCCAGGCCTCTCGGAACCGCCGCGTTCGGAGGCTGTGCCGTGCCGTGCTGTGGAAGGCCCTGGCCAAGGCCTGGCTGCCGGGGCGCTCGGCGATGCTGCCCAGGGCCGCGCGGGCCGGTCCAGCCCGGGCCTGCACAGTACTGCTGGACCGCCGCCTCCTCCTGCCCCATGGCCAGCAGCAGCAGGCCCCTGGAGCACAGATCCCGCGCCCGCGTCCTCGGGCTGTGCCCGCCGTGCCCCTGGATCACGGTGTCCATGTCTGCCAGGGCCCGCTGGTGCTGCCCCAGCAGCCCGAGGCACTCGGCCCTGCGGCGCAGGGAGCGCGGGCAGGCCCCGCCGGCCACCACGGCCAGGGACAGGAACCCCAGGGCCTTCTCGTACTGCTGCCCTTCCAGCAGCACCTGGCCCTGCTGGGCTGCCACCTGCGGGGACAAAAAGACTTCAGGTTAGGTACTGAGTGGAAAAAAACCAGGAGAACATCCGGGCTGGATGGGTCACACGCACAGACACCGAAAAAGCTTAGGTGTTTTTCAAAAGTTGTGGTTGCACCCAGTTGGAGGATGAACCCCATTCTCTGGTTTTGCCTCCAGGTGTAAAACTCTTGGATCACTTGCTGTTATCTCAGGAGTTTCTGAACACCCCCATCCTGACAGGAGGGTGTAGCCAGGTGGGGATCGGGCTCTTCTCCCAGGCCGAGATCAGTAAGACAAGAGGGTTCGGTCTTCAGCTGTGCCAGGGGAGGTTTAGGTTGGATATTGGGAAGAATTTCTTTCCAGAGAGGGTAATCAGACATCAGAATGGGCTGCCCAGGGAAGTGGTGGATTCTCTGTGAGGTTTTTAAGGTGAGACTGGATGTGGCATCAGTGCCATGGGCTGGGAACCACAGCGGGGTTGGATCAAGGGTTGGACTTGATGATCTGGGAGGTCCCTTCCAACCCAGCTAATCCTATGATTCTCTGATTCTCTGATTCTGTGATTCTTTGTTCCTGCTTGTTTGCCTAAAAGTTTGTCAGAATTTCCTCTGAATTCGTTGACGTTCCTCAGGAATGAGGAACAAAAAGCTGAAGGGACCAACCTCCCCACAAATATCCTCATGTGCTAATAACAAAGGTTTTGGTCTCTACCAAAGTTTACCCAAGCTGGAGGATAAAAAGGCCATCTGATGTCTGTGCTAATCGTTAATCTCGAGTTCAAGTGAATTCTCTGCCCCTGTCTGAAGGGAAAAACAACAACAGGAAAATAGAGAAGGCAGAAAGAGCCACATAATTTTTAGGTTCAGGGAGGTCAATAAAGAAAACTCCATTAGAATTATTTGCCTCAAATGGATTTCTCATTATTTCCCTTTATTGGTAATAAATAAAGCTTTTAAGGTGCTGCAGCAGAGTGAATATTTAAGTTATAAACCAGGCTGCCACCAGCTGTGGGGTCTTACAAAAGGCTGAGCCAAACAGCAAAGGATAAATATTTTCATCTCTCTCATTTTGTGGGATAACACTCCCTTTTGGATGCTTGTGGCCCCCCAGAACCCAGTTAGCCCAGCCACTGTCTCAGGAGCCCCAGTGGACAGCCAGGTCAGGCCTCCCAGTCTCTTTATGTGCCTTTTTATCTTGGTTGACTTCAATTAGAATTGATTGTTGTTGAACAGGACTGAGGAAAACAGTTCTGGATGAGAGGGGTCAGTGTTGCAGGGCAGGTCTGAGCACCTCGTGTGAGAGCAGTGGCAGGAATACTTTAGCCACTCCTAATGGTTTGTGAGGAATTCAACCCCAGTTATTTTGTTATAATGCACAGAATATATATAATAACATACGTATATTTTGCTATTTTGTTATATAAATGTAAAATCCTTTATATAGTCATATTTATTAGAGAATCTCTCAGCTTCCACACATGGAAATAGCAGTGGGACCTCTCCTCAGTCGGGGTCAATCCCTGGCTTTAACAATTCTGGCTGTAAATTGTGAGGCAGCCTGTCCAAACCCGCCTCAGGTATCTGTACATACATTTAAAGAGCAGCAAGTTTAGTTTGTGCTTTGAAATGTATTTAAGACAACCAGTCAATGCAAGTGTGTCCTCAGTGGCAGGGTTTTAGCATGGGGTCAAAGTAGCATTGCAGCTGGCAACAGAATTTTCCCCTAGAAATTCCAAAGTTCTAGATCACATTGTTCCAGAGAACACAGTGCAATTCCTCAAAACACCTTGTGTTTGTGTAGTTAAATTGTCATTTTCAGTGTTTAAAGTGCATTTGTTGTCTCAAAGGCAGAAGAAAATACAATTTTTGTTGTTCTGCTGGGTGACTAACCTAATGCTGAAGGTTTCAGCAGCGTTTTGGGTTACTGCACCCATACAATATCACATTTATTAACTGAGCCACTGCTTCCATTTCTTCACATTTCCCTGGGAGTCCCCAAAGTGAGCAAGCCACAGGATTCTGCGTTTCTTGCTGGACTTGGGGGAAAAAATTATTCAAAATTGTCAGTAAATGTTTCACCTTGGGCTAAGGGCCTAATTCCATCACAGACCATAGAGTTTTAGAAACCATTTTTGGGGGGGTCTGGGTATCCTCTGGCATGTCCACAGCTCTGAGGATCCAGTGAGGAGTTGGGAACCTCTGACTTAGGAAACCAAAGAGTTGAAGCTGCACCAGCAGCAGCAAACTCCCTTCCTGTGACCTTTTGCAGCTTAATAAATCTTTCAGATTCCTATTCCCATGGGGCTCTCCCAGTTGTTTACAAATCTCTTAGCGTGGGACCCCTTAGACTATAAATAAATGGGAGAATTTTCTTGCTTTGTTTCATGGAAAAAACTGAGTACATCAAGGAGCTCTCTCCTTCCTCCACCCTTTCCTATTCAGCTTATGGGGGATTATTTTTAGCCCCTCAGACCAGACTCCAGGGTAATGATGACACGTTTCTAGAACCTCCAAACACTCTAAAACAATGTGGCAGAAATGCTGCTGTGCTGGAGTGCTGAGACTGAGGGCTGGCTGTTAAACCACTCCACTCTGCTTTGCTGCAGCCTGCTCACCTGTGAGATGGGGGTGGCAGAAAGAACAGCCTCTCCCAGGGTGTGGCTGGGAGCCATGGCAAAGCAAGGCCATCGTTTTGGCACTAATTCTGCCTGTAAATGTATTTTTTCTTTTACTGAGTCTTCCTTTCGCTCCCAAACTGGAATAACCTCGCAGGAAAAAGGAAGTGCTGCTGGGAAGGGCTTTGAGACACCAGGCAGGTGAATGAACCAATTCCTTCCCCACCCCAGAAAGTAAACACTTATTGTCACAAAATGCATAGAAAAAGACCCAGGTGCTCGAGCTCAAATGTTTACTCAGTTGAGCAAAAGCAGAATACAAAAGAGACTAATGTTTTCTTTTCAAACTTCTAACACTGGTGTCAAGTTCCAGTTTTGAAATAAGTCCCGTCACCCCTTTTCTCTCAAGTTTCCAGAGAAATCTTTCATTTCTCTATTTAAGACAGAAACAAAGAGCCTCTCCCATTTTAAAGGCTTCACTCACCCGTGGCACCAGTGGGTTCTGACACAGCAGTGCAGTTTAAGCTATAGAAAAAGCAGTTTGGAGGTTGGTTTTTTTTTTTTCCCCTTCTCTTTCTTCTTCTCTTATTGACAGCACAAGAATATCCCTCCTGTGTTGTTTCCCAAAGCAGCACGGGTGGATTTAGCTGAGAGACTTCCCCACAGAAGGAGTGATGTGGCAGCAAGGGAAATTCAGCTGTAAAATGCATCTTCATTTACAGACACCTCCTCAGGGCCTCCACAGTCACAGTCTCAGCTGAACCTTTATCAGCTTCCCAAAGTGGAAGATTGCAAATTGGCTCCGAAACCTTCCAACTCTCCCCCATAAGACTGAACTTTTTACATTATTCAGGAGAGAGGGGCTCTTTTCTCTGTAATGGGGCACGTCTGGGGACTGGTAAATTAATACTTGTTTACTTATATCCTCCTGCTGTTTTGTTAAAACACATCCCAAGTACTCCCCTCGATGCATTAAGTGTGTCAGCATGTTGTTTGTTTTATAACCTGGGAGAGAGCATAACAATATAAGTTCTCACCAGGGCGCACACCAGCCCCAAATTGAATCAAAGGAAGCAAACTGCTTCTCAGAGCACAGAGCTTCTGGGTAATCAGAATTGCAGATGCTTGACTGAGTGTTAAAACTCCTCACCATCAATCTCAACTTCTCCTGTCTTATTATTGGAGATTCTTTCTTGGAGCTGGGTGAACTCTGGGGGAGAAATTTGAAAAAAAAATGCCTGATAATACATATTTGGGTGGGCTGGAGCAATATCATTGCTGTGCCCAATAGTTTTAGCTAAGGAAGCCAACCTCAAAGGCCAGTACTGTTATACAAATGTGAATATAAAGGTCTTCCCCCACACTTCTGCTCATGACAAGGCAGGGAAAAATCTCTACAGCTGATTTTGCCTCCCATTTCTTTCCCCACAGGCGTGGATCAAGAAGAGGGTTGTACCTGAGCGAGCTGCTGCTGCTGCTTGGTGTCCACGAAGCTCAGGAGAAATTCCAGCTCCCTTTCATCTCTCTGGGCCAGGGCACTGAGCGAGTGAGCTGCTCCTGCCACGTGTCTCCTCTTCAGCTGCAGCACAGCCAGTCGTGCCCTGGCAGAGTCCTCAGGGGGGCAGTGGCCAAAGGCTGCCTGGAGGTGGGTCAGGGCCTCCTCACACCTCCCTGTGGGGTGACACCAGCACAAGCTGCATAACCCATTCCCTGGGGGGAGAGACACCAAGGAAATTCCCCAAAGCAGGATTTAGGAAGCCTGTCCACAGCCCACACCTAAAGGTGTTAATTACTTCAAACTCCTTCCCAGAACATTTCCAGGCTTCTCTCAAGAAGTGCTGCCCAGAACACACTTGGCCATTGAACATTCACTTCCTTTCAACTCACTGCTCACTCAGCTGTGCCAAAGGGTTGGAACTCACCACTTGCAATCAGAACATCTGTGTAGAAGATGTGATACTGTGCAGCCTTGCAGATTCTGATCAGTGCTCCTGCAATCACCAGGAGGTCCCTGAGGGTTTCTCCCTTTGAGGTGTCTCTGGTGGCCACGAGCTGGGTCAGCGCAGCCCTGCCGTGCTGGAGGAGCCACCCAGTGAGCAGCTCTTGGGCTTCACCCTTCAGGGACAGGATTGCTGGGATCACTGCTCCTGCCTCCACCTTCAGTGCCGAGATCAGATCTTGCACTGCCTCCTATGGAAAGACAACACCAAGAAATGGAACAGAAACAATAACTAAATATTGATAATTTGTTCTCTCAGGTGCTTTCAGTTCTCTGCTGTCCCACAGAAACTCTTTGCTCTGCCCTGTCCTTGTCCTGCATCTTTTCCATTTGCAAAGCTGGTAGAAGGGCAGGGAAGCAGGTTTGGATGGCTGTTTGCAAAGTGTTTGGAACTCCTTGGGTTATCACTGAAAATCATGACTAAGGTTTAGCTTTCCTCCCTCTGCTTGGGAAAACAGATTAGTGATGTCAGGTGGGCTGCTTATACACCCAGCCCAAACCAGTGCCTTTCACTGCCCAAATTCCGTGAGAAACTTGAATGCATGACAAACTCTGGGATGCCTTGCACTGATGTTGTTTAACACCCTCAGAATAACCCCCAGGAAATCAGCACAGTGGAAGTACCTTCTGCTGCCTCAGAGCGAGGAAAACGAGCCCTCGGCCGCTCAGAGCCTGCACGTTCCCGGGGTCCTCCTTCAGGATGGCATTGAAGTCAAAAATAGCAGTTTTCATCTGCCCCAGGCGCCCGTAGCACCGAGCCCTGCTGAGGAGACAATCCCCAGCACCACCACCTAGGGACAGGGATGCAGCCACAGTCACTCAGGGATACCCACAGGAAGCCAGAGAAAAATCCCACTTTGCCTGAGGATACTTGAGGAAGTGCAACGAGAGGGCTTAAGTGGAAGTTTCCTTTATTTTTGTTGCAGGTGGAATTCTTATCTCATATTATCACTTCTGAGTTGAAAGGGGAAAATAATCCGTGTGGGGTTGGAATAGGAGCTGCACAAATGAGAGGAAAAGCTCTAAGGAGGAGATCTGTGGGGATGGGAGAGTGGAGGCACAAAGCTGCTTTAATAAAGTGGAGTCAGAATCACAGAATAGTTTGGGTTGGAAGGGACCTTAAAGAGTCCAACCCCCTGCCATGGGCAGGGAAGGTACACTTTGTTTGGGATAAATGAGTAATCCAGATGGAACCTACTAATTCCCTGCCAGAATTAATATGCACTGGGATTTGGGATACTAAGCTTTTTTTTTTCTTTTTTTTTTCTCTGCTTTCACATAAGTGCTGCCCAAATAAACACACAGAGCTGACAGTGAAAATCCTGGTCCATCCAATCCCTGGCTGCAGAGCATTTATCTTCCTGCCATCCACATGCCCCTTCCTTTCAAGGCAATTTTGATAAGGATCTTAACATGCCCAGGGTTGCAATCCATAACTGTGGCATCCCAATACCAGATGATAAATCATCAGTGCCACTGGAAATATGTTTTCATAGGAAGGTCAGCAAACGCAGCTGCCTGCAGAGATGAGCCAGCAGACAGGCTCCAAGCAATTCTGTTACAGTAATGAGCCTTTTTCTCCCTCCTGATATGCTCCAAAACTCCTGTACCAAAGGTTATTATCACTCTGGAGCTCGACCAGTTGGCTCCTATAAAGACAATCTCTATTTCTCAACAAGCATCTGTTCCAGCAGGTGGGGAGCTGATAAGCTGGAACGCAGGGGCTGTGAAATGGAACCATCTCCAAGCAATTAACAGAGTTTTTTCCATTTTCATGAGCCAGTCTCTCTTCCCCTCAGTGCTGCTGTCATAACATTTGCTCAGAGTGAAAGGCAGATTTCTATACAAACATGGTTTCACTTGGAACACGCCAGAAGCATTCCTGCCTCAGCCTGAGCTCCCTCCTCGGGAAAAGCTGGGACAGGGATCCCATGTAAGTGGCTGCACTCACTCTTTGAGCTTTCTGGCAGGTGAAGAAGAGGGGCTGAAGTCCCTGCAGAACTGAACTGAACACTTGCAACCCATTTCAAGGAATTCACAGATTGTTCACTTATTGTGAAGTGTTTTATTGCACCTTTTCATGGTGCAGATGACCCTGCTGTTCCAGTCTTCTCTTTGGGGAGGTGGCAGATGAGAACTGGCTGGACATTCTGTCCCACCCACTGATCTAATTTCCCCTAGAAGTCCATCTCCATTGGTACCTTGATGCCCTACCTGCAGCAATAATTGCACAGGACAGGTAGGCAATGGCCTCTTTGATGTGAACATCCTCCTGTTGGCTCTCCAGGATGGCCAGTGCTTGGAAATGGCAGTGGGTTTGCATCAGCTTCCTGTCCTCAGCCTGGAAAATGTCCATGATGGGCAGGAGGCAGGAGGTATCTCCAGTCCTGATCACTCTCTGTAGCAGCTTAACAATGGAAGAGAGAAAGGCAGCAGAGGAAGACTTGCATGAGGAGGTGTGAAGTTGTGTTAAACCACCTGCTCAGATCAGTTTGCTCCCACCCACCACTTGCCCACCTTCCCCTGGGGGCTTCTCCCAGCCAGGGTCCAGCCAAGGACAGGAATCTCATATCTAACTCCTCAGCTGGCTCTGGAGTAAATGCATGTTGGAGAAAACATCAGTTCCTGTCTTTTCTCTCCACCACTCCAGCTGTGGAAACAACTGTGGGGAAATGCCTGGTGCTGTCTGGTTTATTTTGGGCAGCATCTGCTCCAGACTGGCAGGGAAGTGTTTGTGTAAATGCAGGAGAACCACGGGAGGGTTGCCCCAAAAACAGAACCTTTCTGTGACACAGAAGGATTCCAGTGACCCCTTTTGACTGTAAAATCAAAACTAGTGAGTTAAGGGAAAGTCAGGGAAGTGCTGAGCCTTTTTTTTAGAATTGTTATTGGGAATCTGGGAAAAGTATGGATTGAAATCCACAAAGTGTTTTCCTCCTGGAAAAGGATCTTGCCTGACTTGTGGTATCTTTGCCTCCATTTACTGCAGTGAGATTCATAAGCAAGGTTTTACTGCATTTCCTATGGAAATGAATCAAAAGGTGTTTTCTACAGCAACCAGCAGGTACTGGATATTCAAATCTGAGCCAGCGAAGTCAGGGCAAGAAAAAAATTACCCTGATGCACCAGACACATCCACTGAAGTTATTACTTTCTCTATTTTATTAATAGATAAAAGTGTTTGGCTTCTGACAGGCAGGTGGCATGAAAACATTTTGAAGAGAGATTTCTGGTGATGTGTGTCCCCATGCAGAACTTGCAGCAGAAGCTGCAGATAGGAATCCAACTTCCAGGGGCAGCACATGGACTCCAATAAAGCCATGTCACTCATTAATAGCCTTCCCAAAGGCAGAAAATCACACCAAACTTTTACTTCTCATAGGGAGTAGAGAAGTGGTAACAGCAAAACCTTTCTCTTTAGGGTTAGCATTTATGTGGCACTTTAAAAAATGCAATAGTTCCCTCTGATGGCAGAACCCGGGAATTCAGTTTTGCAATCCCCGGTAGGAGGATGAAACGTGCTGGAACCTCTTCCAGGGTTTCAAGCACGAGCATTAAAGGGAGAAAACTGCAGACTGATACTGGAGGCTCTGTGTCCTTCCCCGCCCTGCTCTCCAGGGTTTCGTTGGGATAATCAGTGAGGTGGCACTGCTGCCTCCTTTTCTCTGGGGGAAAATCACCAATCCCACAATATTGTCCCCGGGGCAGGATGCTCAGTCATGCTCTGCCTGCTTAAAGTCTCTGCTGGAAAGAGCCATGAGAGGAATGGGCTGGATTTAGCTGAGTCCTTGTGTGTCCTGTGCTACAGACAGAAAGCCCTGTGATTCTGATGCATCTCAGGCCTGTATTTAGATCTTAAAAGTTTTGCTAGAGGTTGAATCACCTAAACCTCACGTGGGCTCCAAATTCCACTGTGTCAACAGCTCTCCCTGTTGCTGTTCCTGGAGCTTCTAACAGCAAAAAGTTCAGTTCTAAAAGGACAATGCACACAAAGCACTGAGCATGAGGATTAATTTGTAATTTTGCTGAGGTCTGGGACAGTCAGTGCCAAGCCAGACAAATGTTCAGAAGGGAATGACCCTGAAGGGGAAGCTTTTCCACACGCTCCTTACCTGGTTTCCATCACACACAAACCCTTTCTTCAGCTGCAGCAGTGCCAGCCTGGCCAGGACAGGAGCCCTTTGGGGGTTTCTGGAGAGGGCAAGCAAGAGCAGCCTGTGGGCTTCTTCTCCACGGCCCATCTGGTACAGGGCATCAGCACAGAGGATCCTGGAGGCCTCATCAGCAGTGTCCAGCTCCACCAAGAGACAGGCCAGCTGGAAAACCCCAGGGGCATCTCTGGAGGGGAAAAAAACGACACAACAAGCCACCTTCAAGGTGAGGAATCTGCCCAGCGCTGTTGTTTTTCTGAAAATGAACCGAACTGCCCCCTGGGTACCTCTTCTTCTGGAGCATCCTCTGTCCTTCCTCTTGGAGAACTTTCAGCAGCAGTCCCCTTTGGTTCCATGGCACGTAGGACTTGATGGTGAAGATGGTTTCTTCCAGCTTTAACTGGCAGGCTGTGATGTAATCCAGGGCTGTCAGGTAAGAGCTGCCCCCAGCAATGCGGATGAGCCCACGGCCACACAAGGCTTTAATGCAGCTGTTGGGATGTGGGGAATCGTGCTCAATGACCTTCTGAAAGTCCTGCAGGGCCTGCTGGTGGTCCTGGGCATGGAGGGAGCAGAACCCTCGCAGTGCCAGCAGGGTGTTGTGGTAAGTCCTCTGCTCCGCTGCCAGGAGCTGGTCACAGATGCCCAGGGCAGCCCCGGGGTGGCCCTGCAGGAGCTGGCACTCTGCCAGCCGGACACTGAGCTCCCTCTGGGACCCCGGGCAGAGCTGCAGGAGGAGCTGGATCGTCTGGATGACAGGAGGGAGCAGTTCAGCTCCACGATTGCCCCTGAGCTCGGTGCGAGCACGCACAGCCTCCCTGTACGCTGCAAACTTCCCCTCCAGGATGGTTCTAGCCTGCTCTTCAATCTTCTCGGTGTCACGCTGCGAGAAAAGCTCTTCAAAGTGTCCCCTGGCCTGGGCAGGGTTTGCAGCAAAGGCTTCTGCTAAATCCTGCATCATTTCCTGCATCCGTCCACCCAGGGAGAAATAGGCAGCAGCCCGTTCCAAGAGCAGACCCAAAACTGCCTCATCTCTGAGCTGACCAGCTGAGAAGCCCTCGAGGGCCTTGGTACAAAGGGCTACACACTCCTGGAATTTGCCCTGTTTTAGGAGGTGAGCTGCCTGCAGCCTGCACACCCAGACATCCCCCGGTGCCACTGCAGCCAGGAAGCCATAGCAGTTGCCCAGCCACTGCTCCAAGGAACTGCAGTCTGGGCTTTCCTTCTGGCACGCTGAGAGGTAGCTGGAGAAGGCCTGGATGACCTGTGGCAGGTGCTCCCCTTGCCTGCTGCACACATGGGCCACCGCCTCGGCCCCGTGCAGCACGAAGGCTTGGACATACCCTGCCACCCCCTCCCTGAGCCCTGTGCCCGACAGCACCCACGCCAAGGCCCTGAGCAGCAGCAGCTCCATGGGGCACCCCGGGCCAGCCTGGAGCAGGACATTGCATCTCCTCACCACCTCCTCTGGGCGCCCTCGCCGCAGCAGGGCCTCCAGCTCGTACAGAGAGGACACCACGTTGTTGGGGCTCAGGGCGGAGAGGAAGATGGCAGCTATTCCCACACTGAGGGACACGACGGCCAGGTTCCTGCTCTGGATCCTGGGAATCTGCCCCTTGCCTTGGCACCAGCTCTCCAGAGTGGCTATGACCTGCTCCCGGAGCCTGCTGTCCATGCGGGTCACCCTCTGCTCTGCTGTGGGGGCACAGCAGCTGAAGGCAGCCAGGTAGAAGGCAGTGGCTGTGGGCAGGTCCTGCTGGGCGAGGTGCTGGTCCCCCTCCCCGCAGAGCAGGGCAGCGAGCTCCTCGGGGGACATGCTCTGCACCCTCACCAGGCAGCATCACACGTGGGACAGGGCTGGAGCCTGTACAACAGAAATCAGAGAATCAGAGAATCAGCTGGGTTGGAAATGACCTCCCAGATCATCAAGTCCAACCCTTGATCCAACCCCACTGTGGTTCCCAGCCCATGGCACTGATGCCACATCCAGTCTCATCTTAGAAACCTCCAGGGATGGAGAATCCACCCCTTCCCTGGGCAGCCCATTCCAATGGCTGAGCACCCTCTCTGGAAAGAAATTCTTTCTAATCTCCAACCTAAACCTCCCCTGGCACAACTTGAGACCATGTCCTCTTGTCTTGCTGATAGTTGCCTGGGAGAAGAGACCAACCCCCACCCGGCTCCCCCCTCCTGTCAGGGAGTTGTAGAGAGTTCAGGGTGAGGGGCTGCAGAGCACAGGTGCTTCTACTTTACCTCCTCCCAGCTGAGGGACATGAGCAATCATGTCCCTCCAGGTGAAAAGCCAGGGGTTGGGCACTGAGAGGTTTCTTGGGGAGAACCAGCAGAGAGGTTCTTAGTCTCCAGCCAGGTGAGGTCGGCTGGGAAGCAGCCCCCCCCCAGCCTGGGCAGTGCTCCCTGCCCATGGAACATTCAGGATGAGTCGGGGCTCCCACCGGGCCGTGCCCTCCCTGGCTGAGACCCCCCTGTGATGGACCTTTAACCATCGGCCGCCGGCAGCGCTGGCACGGGAGAGACGGGGCCGCTCCTTCCCCCCTCGCTTACCTTCTCCCCTCGCCTCGGCAAAGGAGCAGCGAACCTGCAGCGGGAAGGACGAGGCTCCCTGCGGCTCATCCCTCACCTGCGCAGGTGAAGGGGCCCTGCGGGGTCGAGCCTGGGTGTGGTGGGTCCTGGAGAGCGGAGCTGGGGTGGTTTGAGCTGAGCCGAGGCGGGGAGGGAGGGAGGGAGGGCAGGAGCGGGCGCTGTGTTGCCTGGAGACCGCAAACACAGCCCGGTCAGTGCGGGGATGCGCTCGGGGACGGTGCCTGCGCTTCTCCTGCCTCCTCCCGGGACACCGGGGGGCGCGGGGAAAGGAGCCCGAGGGAAAGGACTCCCCTGTCTTGGGGACAAGGAGCTCCTCACCTCAGGGAAGGTAATCCAGGTTGCGACCCTCAGCACGACAAGATACAGGGAATTACACAAACTGGTGAACTGTGGTGTGACCTACACATTTAACTTTATTTTTTAATGAGAAACCATATTTTTAAATTATAACCCTTATGTGTGAATAACAACAGTGGTTTTTGGCAGTAAATTAACTATGTTTTTAGGAGTATCCAGCCTGGCACTGTCCCTTTAAGCCAGGGCCACTCTGAAGCCCAACTCTTTCCTTCTCCATGTTCCTTGACATTCAAAAAAGAAAAAAACCCTTCTATGATGGATGGAGATTTTTTTGACATTTTATTAAGAGTTTGCTCATTACGTTGATTTGATTACTTTCACTTTAATTACCCTAATTAGCTGTCAAGATATAATTTAGCATTGCTGTCACATCGGGCCACAGGTGATATTGCCAAAAAAGACTCGAGGGCATCAAAAGAGCCAGTTCTGAAATAAAAATCACATTAAAGGGAGCTGGGCTGATCAAACACCTCTGCCCCTCCCTGCTGGGGTTCAGGCATTGAGCTTGTGGGAATAAAACCGAGACTGGAGCCTCCAATGGATCGTGGTCCAGGCTGCAAAAATCATTACCCATAATTTGACTTTGCTGCATGACTGAGTGGTGTGGAAGTTGCTTCCAGCCACGTTTTGCCTTGTAGATCCAAAGAACGTGAGGATGGCAGTGTCCTCCATCCATCATTTCCAGCAGAAAGAGTCCTGGTTGGGTTTGAGAGTCCCCTGTGCTCCCTGCTACACACAGATGGTTTAGGGGATGGTGTTACAGCCTGTGGGGAGGCATTGTTCTGTTGTCTTAGGGTTTTATAGCAGGTGGTACAAATACAACCAGTTGTACATTGTGTACCAAACTTCAGCTGAAATTAATTTAGGTTCCTAGCTTTGGTCCTTGAAGGAGTAAGAGGAACAGCATCTAAGGAGCTTGAGGCAGATGGAAAAATAGTATTTTGCTGAGGTGTGTGAGCAGAGGCCAGTGTGAAAACCTGTTGTTGTAACCAGTGGAACCAGGGCTGTAGCTTAAAGACTCTGCAGGTTCTTCTCAAGCCACCAGACAATTTGCTGTTTGTTGTCCTGTGGGGTAGGTGTGACAAGCCCTTTTTCCAGGACCATAGAAGCAAAGAGGGGGAAAAGTGGGGAGATGTTTATGCAAACATTAAATATTGAGAATGCTGCACACTCATTAAATAGTAAGTATGCTACAATAGCTCCCCGTGGTGTCTCTGATTACAGATAAATTTTTAAAGGGAGGGGTGTGTGTGGGGGAATAAACACAGCACAAGTTTGCAAATTTTGCTTTTTCCTGCTTTGCAGAGCAGTAGCTGCACTGACACGTGTCTGCAGCAACCTGTGTCAGAGACACAGGGCTGAGAAATCTTGCACTTCTTTCTTTTAAAGGCTCTTGGTGCCTCCAGTGTGTGTAACAAATCCCTCGGGCTTTTTAAGTATCAGGTGTTGCTGAGGCTGCAGGGGAGAAACCAGTAATTTGGTGTTGAAAATTTGTCTTAAAATAGGAAGAGAATGAACTTTCTTTGACAGAAAGGGGTGTAACAGTGTGGGGCAATAGCAGTGTTAAAAAAAAAAGAAAATCTGATTTATCTGAGTGTCATTCTTCACTCTGAGCTGTGCCTGGGTTGGAGAGCAGACACCAGATCCTGCCCTCCTTCAGGCTGGGGAATGAAGGTGGTTTGTACTGAATGAGACAGTGCCCCTGGTGCTGGAGGGGAGAGCTCTGGTGATGTGTGAAACCATGGGGTGAAATTTCACCCCCGGGCACATTTGGTTCCATGCCCATGGTCTGCCCCGAGGGTTGGCTTTCTGGGCTCAAACATCAATGTGTTGACACATGAAGCACCCTGGTGCTCTCTGGGTGCACAAAGGTGAGGGTGTGTGGGCACAGAAAGCCCAAACCATCTCTTTATGCAGTGGACTGTCTTGATCTGGGCTCACCCAGTAGGAATGATGATGCAAAGAACTGCAGGGCTCCTTGAGAAGGAGCAGGATTAAGATGCACTTGAGTGAGATTACGAGGAAAGCGTGGTTGTTCCATTAGAGAAAGAAATAATCCCTTTGTTTATATTCTGGAGATTAAAGCAGCAGCAGCACAAAGCACCCAGAGGTCACCACACACACAGACTCTGCTGCCTGAGTTGTCTGTGCTGGAACTGTGGGATTCAGCTGTGCAGCTGCATAATTTAATGTGTCCTCCCTGTGCTGGGAGTCCTGCTCCATGAGAGGCAGGGAAGTGGATCTGCTTATTCCACAGCCAGGTGGGTGTGCTTGACTTTGAACAGAAATGAGTGGGGTGAGTGAAGGAGGTTCCCCTATAAGGTTTATGGTGTTTCCTTACGATGTTCTTGCACCTGCATCCCCTCTGATGCCACATCCCCTGATACAAAGGCTGGAGGGTAGAAATTTCTGGCTGAAATCTCAATCAGGTTGGAAAAGACCTCCAAGATAGAGTCCAACCTTTGACTGGTCACCACCTTGTCAACCAGGTCATGGCACTAAGTGCCACGTCCAGTCTTTAGTGCCACATCCAGACATTAATCTGGTGCTTGTAAAGAGCTCTGAAACCTGTGGGTGGAAGGTGGCAGAGGCCAGAGAAGTTCTTAGCATGGTCATTTTCTAGTCTGACCCCATGAGTCTGGATCTGGGTATTACAAAATATACCCCCTGTAATCCTGCCATTTCCTGCTCTGAGTTATTCCACTGCCATTTCCCAGCCCAGACTTGCAAGTACAAGATTTTCTAGATGGAAACTGCTGAGATTGAGAGCAGTTGGGCCACATGTAATCAGGGAGCAGGACTAACCTCTGGAGAGCCAAACTCTTCCACTTCCCAGATTTCACATCTCTCTCACCCAAATAATCAGCCCAGCCAGGCTGATTTTCCAACCAGCTCAGTATATCTGTGTCCTGCAAGGTGTTTGGAACAGGTTCACTTGAACAAAGTCCCCTCAAAATGAATGCCCTCTGCTCCCATTCTTCCCAGTGCCAGTGTCACTTTTCTGTTGTGTATCCCATGTTTATTTAGGATATAAGCACTGGAGGCCAAGGGTGGTGCCTGGTGTGATGAGTGTGATGGGCTGAGTCTCAGAAGGCATTCCCAGCACTGCTGTGACATGGAATAACTGATTGTGAGGTATAAAAAAAGGGAAGCTGTTCCAACATCTCACAGATACGTGGCCAACTCAAATTAGACAGTGTTAACCAGCCCACTTTGTTCCTCCTCTGCTAATATTGAGGCTTGACTGCTCTTCTTTCCTCTCATTCCTTCCCTCTCTTACAAACAGACAGGGCTAAGAAAACGTTGTTAAGGGATAACTTGCCTGGTTATGCTGTTTCCAACTCGTGGGTTTGGATCAAGTTTATCAACCAGCCATGGAATCATTAATCACCCAGAAAAATAGCACACACTGAAATGACTTTTCAAAATGTCGTTGGTATAATTATCATCTTGGCCATTACATTAAATGCCACCATTTATAACTGTTATGTTTAAGTATGCAAACAGTAATTAACTTGGTAATGAACTGAGGACCCCTGTGCCTCTCTTCCCTCGGCTAATTTGCATGTTAATTATCATTAGCAACCAGGGAAACAAGTTATAAACAGCTTAATTAGCAGCTTAATCATTTTTACAAGAAAACGTGCTGCACTTTGATACACGAGCAAGGGTTGGATTAATGAAGTCAGGGGAGCGTGTTCAGTGCTGGGCTTGTTCTGGGACAATGTGGGGCCACAGAAATGTCCTTGCACACCCACGAGCACACCCGGGCTCAGGGCTCTGCAGGACACTCTGCCTGGTTACTGTCTGCTTGAGGAGTTTGTAAGAAAAAAATAATTTCCTCTTTTTTTTTCATTT